GTTATTTACAACTTTTAAAAAACTACGAATATTAAAAAAAACGATTTCTAGAAATAGTGTTACTAATAAGAGGTACCCTAGTGGTTTTTGCCCAAAACATACGCATTCTTGGATATCCTAAGCTTGACATAAATATATTACATCCGATAAAACGTTTCATTTCAATTGATGTCACTTTTATAGATTTTCCTGATTCTACAACACTTTTAATATTAGTGCAATTTACCATATTTTCAATGGTTTTTTCGTTAATATATTGATTAAAATAATTTATAGGGGTCCAGTCATGTCTTTCTGCGTCGTTATATTCTTCAGGTGAAGAACGAATTAATTTTTTTTTTTGGTTTAAAACGATTTGTTCTTAGCCATTTCATAATATTTATATATTTAATTTGTTGAACGTTTGGATTCAAATTATTATTAGAATTATTAGAAGTGTCAATCTGACTCGTATCTACTGATGTACCATAACCAAAATTCAAATTAGAGTTTTCTAATTGTTCAAAATATTCATCGTTTTCTAATAATAATTGATCGATGTCCTCGTTATCGTTTATTATATTATTTACCATATCAAAATCTTCTTCTTCCTCACTTCCTTCGAATTCTGATGTATTGCCATTGTCAATTTGTTCAATAAGTATGTTTATATTGTCATTCGTCAATACTTTACCAAGACGATTCATTATGAATTATAACGTAAATTAAATTATTTTATAAGCACATACTCGCACTACGCACATTTACTAATACGATCGACACGGCGACACGGCACCAACTGAATTCGATATCAGTAATTCAGTAATTAACATTAAATACAAATAATAAACACAATGGGGAAGTTAAATAAAACCCAAAATAAATACAGCCATATAAAATAATAATATAATTATAAAATGTTGTTATACTGACCTATAACTTCGATTAAATATTTTGATGTCACTGTTTATGAACTTCTTGTATTAATAAAAGCCCAGTGTCCATTTCAATGGATAATTTTCAATTATGAATTAAAATAGATTAAACAAATTGTTTAGATCCCCAATGTCCCAAGCTAGAGGGTATCCACACTGGTGGGCCTCCCTCCTCAAGCCATTCATGTTGTTGTATTCTTTCATTACCAAATTTACTCATTGTATATATAAAATTACAGATTGTAAATATTCTATTTTATCTAATAAAAAAAAAAAAGTAAAAAAAAAAAAGATCCCCAATGTTAAAAATAAGATTACAATATACACATATACAAAGATAATCAAAGAAATAAATATTTATATAGTTATAAGTTTAATATACGTTGAAGATACCAACATTAAAAAATTGCATAGAAAAATATAATTTAATTGATACTATACTGATACTTAAAACAATGAACTAGTATTATATAATGTTTTCACATTGTGTGAAATATTGTATTTAATTAGATCATAACGTATTTGAAAGTTTAAATATACTCAAGAATTATAAAAAAAACACTAAACAAAAAAAAAACAAATGTCCATTGTAATGGACATCGGGTTGACAATACTACAAATATTTTGGTTAGGCCGGGCGTTTATACGTGTAAAAAAAATGTCCATTGAAATAGACATTCGGCTTGTGGTACTACAAAATTTAAATACGTGATGGGCCTCAGGAGGTTATATAGGTAAGCAAATAGTAATATATTAATATATATAATAACAAATTATAATATATAAATATTATTATATAACAATATATTAAAATACATAATAAAAAATTATAATATAAAAATATATTTATGTATATAATATTAAAAAAACAATCAATGAAATTAAAATATAAAAAAAAAAATTATAATAACTGGTTCATGATAGAAGAATCGTCCTTATAAGTTATACTCTACTGTTATAATATTATAAAGAACGTATTGGTCTTATGATGATGTGTATGTTAAATTAATTGAGTTGTATTTTCTGTTGTAACTGTCTTGTATTATGATATTCTAAAAAAAATTATGATTATTTTTATCTTGATTAGGTACCTAATTAAATTGTTTATGTTTATATAGTTAAGCAAATTTATAAATTTATTAATAAGTTATTATAGAAAAAAAAATCAATAAGAAGCTAAAGTTATCTTATTATTTATTTATTACTGCCCTTTAAATAATTTTAATTTATTATACCACATACCATGGGAGATTTTAACGCAAAAATAGGGCAGGAAGTAGGGTATAGACCAACAATTGGGAAGGAGAGCCTGCATAGAACATCAAATGATTATGGCACAAGATTAGTTAATTTTGCTACAACCAAAAACATGATAATAAGTAGCACCACATTCCCACATAAGGATATACACAAGGAAACCTGGGTATCACCATCAGGACAAATAAAAAACCAAATAGACCATGTTGTAGTGGACAGACGTTTCAAGAGATGCGTCATGGATGTCCGGAGCATGAGAGGTAGCAGCGCAATGTCCGATAATTTTATAGTAAGAGCAAAAATCAAGTTACGTCTCTCAGTTGAATGGAGAAAAAAGAACGTCTCTATCAAAAGGTTTAACATAGAAGACCTACAAACCAAGAAATCATATTGATTGTACAGTACAAGAACAAACTAAAAGAGACCTTGAGTCTGACGGAGAATTCAAATAACGTAGATAATAACGTAGATAATCTATGGAATGAGATTGAAAACTCGATTAAAACGGTGGCCACAGAAGTCCTAAGATTTGAAGAAAGAAAAAGGGGGAAAAAATGGTTTGATGAACAATGTAAAAAAGCAAATAATGAAAGAGATATTGCCCGAATAAAAATGCTAAAAGACCCATGTGAGGAAAATAAGAGAGTACTATCGACTAGACAAAGGTGAACTAAACAATTGTTTAGAAAAAAGAAAAGAGCATGGGAAAATTCTAGACTTGAAATAATAGAAAACAGCTATAAAAACAATGTAAGACTTTTTTTTAAAAAGGCGAATGAAATTAATAATGGATTTAAGACAAAAGCAACAATTATAAAGGATGAAGAAGGATTACTAATAACGGATAAAAAAAAAGGCTGCAAACGAGTTCAGGAACATTTTTGAAACAATGCTGAACTAACCTACTCAAGTAAAATTGGAAGAAAACCTCAACACGGTTGAACAGAGATTAGACGAACCCACGTTAGAAGAAGTAGAAAGGGCAGTAAATATGTTGAAAAATAGGAAAGCACCAGGGGAAGACGCAATTGTTGCAGAACTACTGAAAGAAGGAGGAAAAGAACTAATGACACCATTGAAACGACTAGTAGATAATATATGGAAACAAGAATAAATACCAGTAACATGGCATATGTCAGTCCTATGCCCGGTTCACAAGAAAGGAGACGCTATGGTTTGCCAGAATTACAGAGGAATATTCTTACTAAACACCTGTTACAAATTAGTTTCGAACATCATACTAAACCGTATCAAGCCATACACAAGGGAAATAATAGGGGAATATCAGGCAGGTTTTATGTCAGGGAAATCTACAGTGGATCAAATTCATACAATAAAACAAATAGTAGAGAAAAGTCACGAGTTCGACATAGATGTTGTTACATGC